CATAAGGAAAGGTCTTCTTTTAACTTACCGTATTATTTCGTGCTCCTGTTTGAATTAGTTGAGGTATAGGACAATTTTTAACATATTGTGTTATTTTGTGCTCGTGTTTGAGTTATAGGACTGTTTTTAACATATTGTGTTATTTCGTGCTCGTGTTTGAGTTAAACAGTTTGTAACATATTGGTTTATTCTTCGGTTGCCGTAAGGAAAGATTTTTCTTCTAAGTTACTGTGTTATTTCGTGCTCGTGTTTGAGTTATAGGACTGTTTTTAACATATTGTGTTATTTCGTGCTCGTGTTTGAGTTAAACAGTTTGTAACATATTGGTTTATTCTTCGGTTGTCGTAAGGGGGGGTCTCCTAAATTGCTGTGTTATTTTGTGCTCGTGTTTGAGCTATAGGACAGTTTTGAACATATTGTGTTATTTTGTGCTCGTGTTTGAGTTAGTTTTATTTGGTCATGTTTTTCGTACGGAAATCCTACAAGCAATCTTTTTGCTTTTATGATCAGAATCATTTTACAAAAAAGAAATGCATGTGAGGTTCGGAAGTAAATTGTTTTGGTCTGGATTTATATATCATATTCTCCCACGAAATATGCGTGACAGAACTGTTGAACAGATGACATTGTCATAATTTAAGTTTATTAATAGAGCCTGCTCAGAACCTTCGAAGAAAGTTTGGGGTAAATGATTATTAGATGAAGTTAAAAAGGTATAAATATAGAACAGTTTAAGTCAGTTTTGAGTAACGTGGAAACTGACAGATGTTCATTTGTGACTAGCTTTGATATACGCCCTCTACAGGTAATAAATCTACTAGGGTTTTTACTGCAGGACTTAATCGTTATTACATTTTTTACTCTTAATTATGCATAAACATACATGTTTCCACCCTTTTACATCTGTGTCTGTCTGACTTACATTCATGGAAAATCAATCTGTTTCTTAAAAAGAAAGTTCGCCAGTGGCTCAGGGGTAAATCTCTAAAAATCGGGTTTCGATACCCATGATGAGTACGTCATGTAGCTTTGTGCTTAACAAATATGTAAATAAATAATAACAATACTATAAAGGTCCAATAATCGAAATTCGATATAAATTCTACAATTTTGTTTCTATTCTGGCTCAGTTTACTTTGCTGGGTAACAATTTATTGCATCTTTAAATCAAGAATAAAAATAAATCTGAAAAAATTCTTTAAACTATGTTTCCGTACAGAATTTAAAATTAATTCACTATATAATCTAAGAAAACCTTCTAAGCTTAGTTGGTAGTAAGTAGGCTTAGAGGTTGAAATAAAAGTTATAAACGTTCGAAGCTATACCTACAGTAAACATATAGTATTTTTGATTTTACCCTTAAAGAAAAAGAAATCTGTAATATAAATATGATAATTTTTTTGTTTGAAGTTAAGCACAAAGCTACACAATGGGCTATCTGTGCTCTGCCCACCACGGGTATCGAAACCCGGTTTCTAGCGTTGTAAGTCTGCAGACATACCGCTGTGCCACTGGGGGGGGGGGGGGCAATATGATAACTGTATGTGTAATCAGTGCGATGTACATTGTTACAGTTCCTCTGGTGGTTAAGGCGCTCGACTCGCAACCTGAGGGTCGCGGGTTCGAATCTTCATCACCGAATATGCTCGCCCTTTCAGGTGGGAACGTTATAATTTGACGGTCAATCCCACTATTCGTTAGTAAAAGTGTAGCCCAAGAGTTGGCTACGGACATTTAACGCAGATAGCCCTAGTGTAGCTTTGCGCGACATTTAAAACAACCAAACCAAAGTACACTTCCTATATGTGCACTAATGCATTAGTTATCTTCGATAACTTTAGTTATTGTGACCAAGGAGTTTGTTAGGACTAGTCCATATCTTGGTTATTACTAACACATGCATTGAAAGAACATTGGAATTTTGTCGAGCAAGATCGTAGCAACCAAAAACCTATTTTACAAGTTCGAACTTTTCTGGTTTTAAGACAACAGAAACTTCCAATCCTGTTGACGACTTGTTTTACTTTAAATCAGACATTGATTTTTGGATCTGATTACAGCATAGGAGACATACTAGAACTTTATGCTTTGATTCATTTAAAAGAAAATTCTATTTCTGTAAGTGAGTCCGTGATGCGTATTTATCGAAGAAAACATTTTTCGCCAGCACTTTGTAGATTGGAGGACCTCCATGCACCAGATGGTGGAAGTTTTCACGCCACGTAAGAGTTTCTGGTTACCGGTAATGCACGCACCGCGCGGGGTCTGTCCGTAGGGAGTCGTGCGGGCTCGTAGAAAACTCTGCTGCCAAGGCAAGTTCTGTAGAAAAATCAACGATAATGGTGGATCAGCATGTTGTAAATCGGACGGTAGTCGTACCAGAAATAATTGCAATCCATCCAATGATTCGATCATAAAGCGCGGTAAAATTAAATCAAAGCCGGCCATACGAACAGTTCTGGTCCTCAAATCTTTGATCTACCCGCGAATGGAAAACGAACAAAAGCTCGAGCACTGGCTATGAAATATTAAGAGCAGAGTGCGTTGTAAATGTGCTTTATTCAATTGACTTGCATTAAGATATGAAATATTGAAACAGTTTAGGTACGGCCCAACAATAGGGGAGAGTAGGTAGAGTTAGATTACATGCTTGCCATATTAAATTATCAGTCCAGAAGTTTCAACTTCACTGTTGCTAGCAGTTTTCAACTTTTTTTTTTTTCGTATACATTTTCAAACCATTTCTTTTTCTTCTTCTTCTCAAAAACTTTAATTACGGATGTTACAGTCTTAATCCAAGAATGAGTGATCACTATTTCTGGAGTAACATAAAGGATGCTTTGATTTCATTAAGGAAGAAACAAAAAGTTAAATGTGTATGTATATTCTCCGTGTGAAATGTATACACGTGCTTAGCTATTTCGCACAGGACCGCGCTAATACTTCCTTGCACTAAGTCAATATAGCAGTATTCCACTGAAACTTTAGAATTATAGAACGCAGGTTTGTGAAGTGGGTCTTTATGGTTTGGCACATACCAATCATACGATTATTTTTATTATATCATTATATATCAATTTTACACAACACCCAGTACATCTAGAATTACAAAAAACATTTTTTATCTTTTCATCGAAAAGCTAATATTTATTATAGCTCGTGTTTCAACAAATCTTCCAGTTGGTTTTGGGCGTTTGGAAACATATCGGTTTTAACCTACCCTATTCCATCTATTCGGATTGGGATTTAGATCTATTTTGACGTGAGTGTTTATGGGATTTTTCACCGATACATTACCGATGAAACTAACCCTATAGTGCTTCTAATCTCAGCTTGAGGTTAGCAGGTGGCGCTCTTACCATTGTAAACTACCACGTATATTATCCCAAACTAAGCTATTTGCCGGGTTTTCTAAAAATAGTTTTCACACTCTGTGTTTAGACACCCTTCAATGACGGATCATTACCCGCCACCTATCGGTGAATTTAATTGTATTATTTATTTATTTTCTAAATTTTAACACTGTAATCATTTATGCGCTATACTAGACGAATCCAAGCAATATTTGAAGTTACTTTTAAAACGCCTTACAAATATATAAGCATCTAGGCACCAGTAATTACTACAATCGTTAAAATGATAAAATTCTAATAATAAAATCACTCTTTCGAGAAAACGATTTGTTTGAAGTTAAGCACAAAGCTACAAAATGGACTATTTGTGCTCTGCCCACCACGAATATCGAAACCACGTTTCTAGCGTTGGAAGTTCGCAGACATACCGCTGTGCCACTTGGGTGGCATAAAAAGCAGAAACAGAAATTATGATCGTTTAATGGAAATTTTCAAACTATCCAGAAACTTGCTGGGACTGTAACAACACAAAGAGATTGTGCTCATATACAAAAGACCTGATGTAGAGGCTGGCTTTAATTAATGTAAGAAAGTTTGATAAACGGCCTAGCCAGTGTTGAATACAAACTGTTCCACCGGGAGTGGGGAATATGAAGCTGGGGAGAATGAATTCAAATTCGACAAAATTGAAAATATTGTACTTCAGGGGGGGATTTTTTGCATAGGGGGAATTCTCCCTGTACACCCTCTGAATTCAACGATGGGCATAGCTCTTATGTGTGTGTGTGTATACAACAACGAAAGTATTTATATTTGTATATATATGGCCTGTTTGACATACCGCTTCTCAGTTTGACCTTTTCTCCTCTGTGACCTTTTATTAGATAAATATTACAGTTTATTCTACCATGTTGCTCTCTTCGTATTCTTAACTCCTTTGCTTCACGACAGGTTTCGGCTGTATTGGCAGTAGAAAGTATTTATATTTGTATATATATGGCCTGTTTGACATACCGCTTCTCAGTTTGACCACCTTCGCTTCACGACAGGTTTCGGCTGTATTGGCAGTAGAAGTCACGAGAAGCTGTGGACTTTTGACAACATTTCAATGTTTTCACAGCGTTTTTCGAAGCGTACAACTCTCTCTATTGAATAAATAAATATACAGCACAACACACGCATAAAATTATTTTATGTTCACTGGCCAAATTAAGTTTGGAAAAATCAAGACACGGGGTATAAACATGCAGATATCACGTGCTAAATGATTATTTCAACAAATAACCTCCAAAAAAATGTGGTCTTAACTTTTGGTAAACATAACATCTTCCCCAAAACTTTTCCAAAACTCAAAAACGCAGTTAAAATTATAATGATGAAAAAAAAAAAGATATAAAATCATATAGGAATGACAAAAGGGGAAAAGTATGATACAATCAAGTACTTTTCGATAAAGTTGGCAACCTGAAAAACTTTTTAAAAATATATATATGACGCGGTTTCTACGAATAATTCTTCTGTTCTCGCTCTATGCTTTCGTAGTCTGTGCGCATACTTATAGATTAAACACATTTATGTCGTTGTACTATAGTTTAGAATATAATATTCGTTAGAACAATTTTCATTAATTAGTTTATATCTTTTTAGTCTTCTTTATCTACGCTCCAACCATGGGTGTCTGGAAATGCGTTTATGGGCTCTATGTCAAGTAGCCCTTTGACCCCTAATCGTCTCGGATCAGGAGATCCTAGCCCCACGTGTGGAAAGGTACCTAACAGAACCCCTACCCCAGGGATCTCTGATCCTGCTCCTGGTATGGAAGGTCCGCTCAATCTCACTAAACCCAAGACATCAGGTAGCAAAAGTAACAGGTTCGTAGCTTCTGGTTTTTTGTTGTTGTTCTTTTGACCTTGTACAAGTACTCCTTTTGCAAAAAGAAATTTCGATCCATAGCTCTATTACTCTTAATTATTAATTTTATAAAAGCAGGAGGGTTTAAAATAAAACTATACCAATTGGTAGAGATTTCACTCGTGAAAAAAACAAAAGCAGTTCACGTTTCAGATGGGGAATGTTGCGAGGCTTACC